GAACCCAGGTCCTCTTTGATAGCCGTTCTGAGTCCTAACAACACAGTAGGAAGGATATCAACCCAGTGAATAGCAGTATGGCATCTAATGGCCTGTTTAAGAGAGCGATGGAACCTCTCAACAAGTCCATTGGAATTCGGGTGGTACGGTGATGTACGGATCTTTTCAGTTCCCAAGAATTTTGTTAATGCAGTAAATAATTGAGATTCGAACTGCCGTCCTTGGTCCGTGGTAACGTACTCGGGTACCCCAAACCGTGAAATCCATACAGAAAAAAAGGTTTTCGCCACAGTGTCGGCGGACATATCTACAATAGGGATAGCCTCTGGCTAACGTGTGTATCTGTCGACACACATAAGAAGATATGTATAACCTAGTGATGGGGGTAAGGGTCCAACCAAATCGATATGTACATGGCTAAAGCGAGCAAATGGTAACTCAAAGCGTTGACATGGAGTTCGAGTGTGCCTGTGAATTTTTTGGGAAAATTATGGAGGCCACTAAAAATACCATGCCGGAATTTCAGTGGAATGTATGGCCGCACCACATTACCTTGCACATCGCAGTATAGTGAAAGATCTGGTTCTAACTGCATAGGTACTAAATTAAGTCCATGAGAAGACTTGTCAGACAAAAGATGTTGCAATTCTGGGTCCTGTTTCTGACATTCAGCAATGGCGGAGAAATCTGTTGTTGATGGCTACTGAACCTCTTCAATTCTGGACAGAGCATCAGCAACTGTATTTTGAGGGACTTCTACATGCCTAAAATCGGTTGTAAACTGCGCTATGTAATCAAGATGACGCATTTGCCTGGGAGAAGCCTTGTCAGGCTTTTGTCGAAAAGCGAAAATTAGCGGCTTGTGGTCGGTATAGATAGAAAACACACAACCTTCTACCATATGACGAAAATGTTTAACAGCTTCATACGCACTAAGAAGTTCGCGGTCGTACGTGCTGTATTTTGATTGCGCTGCAGAAAATTTTTTCGAGAAGAAAGCCAGAGGCTTCCATGCTCCGTCTACCAGTTGCTGCAAAACTGCACCCATGGCCGTATTAGACGCGTCAACCATTAATGCTAAAGGGTGCTTAGAAGGATAGCTAAGAGCTGTTGCCGACGCTAAGTCATTCTTACATTGTACAAAGGCAAAATTTATTTTAATATATTTTATGAATGGGCATCATCAGACCAAATAATTGGCCGCGTATCTTTCTTTTTACTCACAACCAAATATGTGTGCAAAGGTGCCTGCTTTTCAGCGGCATGAGGAAGAAAGCAACGATAAAAATTTAACATGGCCAGAAAACGACGCAGCTCCTGAACAGTTTTTGGCTCTGGGAAATTTTGAATTGCAGTGACTCTGTCACTAAGTGGGCGAACGCCCTCCGAAGAAACTTCGTGACCAAGAAATGACACTTTAGATTTCCCGAAAACACATTTTGATGGATTAATGACTACACCATAAGACTGAAATCGGCCAAGGACTATGCAAAGGTGTTCAAGGTGCTGGTTTTTCAGTTGTCGAGGCTACCAGAATGTCATCGAAATATGGGACACAAAAATCTAAATCTCGAAGGACTTCATTAATGAAGCGCTGAAACGTTTGCGCAGCGTTACATAACCCGAAAGTCATGACAGGAAATTCGAATAATCCAAAAGGTGTTATTACAGCAGTTTTTGGTATATCAGGTGGATTGACAGGGATCTGATGGTAAGCACGAGTCAAATCTAACGTAGAAAAAATATTTTTGCCTTCCAAGACTTGCATGCAGTCCTGAATATGAGGAACCGGATATCTATCAGGCAAAGTAACTGAATTAAGACGTCGATAATCCCCACAAGGACGCCAGTCGCCGTTTTTCTTAGGGACCATGTGGAGTGGACTGGCCCATGAACTTTTAGATGGCCGACAGATTCCTTGCTCAAGCATGTATTTAAATTCTTCTTTTGCAGCCTTTAATTTCTCTGGAGGCAACCGCCGTGCTTTGGCAAAGATTGGTGGTCCAGTAGTCTCTATGACGTGTACAATACCGTGGTCAGCAGTCGGTTTGCCAGTTACTGAGCGGATGACGTTAGGGTATTGCTCAAGTAGTTTTGTGGAAAGGAGAATTACCGGAAATTAATTTAATTCCAAAATTAGTGGCATTTCCAATGCTACCTACCGCGGACAATTGTGTGATGGAGTCGAGTAAGCGTCGATTTTTAATGTCGACCAACACAGAAAAATTTTTGCAGAAAGTCTGCACCAATTATTGGGTGCGAAACCGCAGCGATGACAAATGGCCATTGAAATTTGCGACGCAATCCTAGATCCAAAGACATTAATATTTCTCCATATGTTGCAATTTTTGACTCCGTTAGCTGCAAATAAGTTAAATTTTCCAGGCGGCCGTTTGGATTCGGCAAAAGAGGGAGGTACAACCGAAATGTCAGCACCTGTATCAACAAGAAAACGTCTGCCTGATGGTTTATCTGTTACGAACAATCGACTAATGCACGGGCCGTTGTCACTCATGGCTTCGAGTGACGGCCCCTTCAGTTTAAAGAGGTCTTCTGAAATTTGCATGGAGGTGTACACTTGCGCGCTTTATCACCGAATCGGCTGTGATAGAAACAAATGTCTGATTGAGTACCAGAATGAGCGCGTTGGTATTCCCTATTATTTCGGTTCCGGGACTTTGATCTACCGCGCGGATGATACTGAGATCGTGTCTGTAAGGCTGCGACCTGCAATGATAATTCCTGGATTTGTTGTTGAAGAGATGAAATATCAACACTGGGATGCTGAACTTGACTGATTGCTTGTGGTTGGAGAACATCATGAATTTTGTCTGCCATTTGGGCCAGTTGGGGTAGGTTCTCGTTACTGGAGGCAAGAATAGCTTGGATATTGTTCGGGAGACGATTGAGCCACAATGATTGTAAAACATTGGACTTAAAATTGTCACCCGCAAGCTCCTGCATTTTTGACAATAACTGGGATGGGCGCATATCACCAAGTTGCAAATCTTGTAATAACTGCTTTAGTTTGGTGTTTTCAGACTCCTCATAAACTGAAATTAATTTATTTTTCAATTCCTCGTATTTATTATCCGAGGGGGTTTCAGAACAATCTCGCGTACTGACTGAAGAACCTCAGTGTCGAGGGCGGAAATTGCAGTATAAAATTTCGTGTCGTCGCGTGTTATACCCCCGAGCTTGAATTGTGCATCTAATTGAAAAAAACCAAAGGTTGGGGTCACTACGGCAAAATGGGGCAGGTTTCACAGCAACGCGAGCCATTTGTTTGTCATCAGTGGCTAGAGGATCGCTAGTAGCCATAATAAATATGAATAAATACAGATAACAAAAAAAAGATATAGTTCAAGAATACTGTTGCAGTACACGTGAAGAAACACAAAATAATTAATGTTAGGACCTGGGTTCTGATGATCTAGAACATGAGAAATATAGGAAAAAACTCACCCGCTTGACGAATACATACGAATCCATGTGCGGAATAAAAGGTAGAAAATATCACCTTGATGTACAGAAATTATCCACTCGCTTGATGTTGGAACACTATCACTAATGGAAGATGAAGGTAATCCGCATGTCTGAAAGATGATCACAAATGGAAACATGAAGGTAATCCATGTGGCTGTAATATGATGAAACTGATGCACGATCCAATAGACACGATAAGTAATCCAATACACATAAGTAAAAAATATTGGTTCAGCTGCATTTCACACATTATTACAAGGTCTTGTTTAAGCACAAAATTTCTGCTGTACTATAAATTTCGACGATTCATTTGGCTTAAGCCTCACCGTCCTGAAGTCACCATTTGTTGCACGTGGTTGCGGCTGTGTGCAACAACAAACTATGCGTATTGGAATTTGCCAGTGCTTTTAAGGATGAATTCATAACATGCCATAAGAGCCAATTTTTGATAACAAAAACATTTAATCACATCACAATATTAAAACTTAATTACTACAGGACATAGACAATCACGTTGGAGGAAAACGAGCGACCAACCGCACCGACGACGAGACATGACTGTGTGTTGCCGAAACCACCTTCGGTTACAGTTAGTGATAACGGCGCGCGGTTGGCGAGTACAACACATGTTTACAGAGTCGCCACAATATATATATATAAAAGATTAATTCTATATATTGCAATGCATCAATCAAAAAAAGGTTTAGTATTTAAATTAAAATTAGCCAACCAGTTTTAGTTTAAAAATTAAATAGAAATTTTAATTTTTTTGCAAAGGTTTAAATTTGAATTAATTATTTACATAAAAGATCAATCTGCTTCAGAAAAATTCTGTTTCAACAAATAGGCTTCGACATCTCAAATTTAGGGCTTGCTAGGTGCCTGATGTTATTTTTAAATGAAAAAATACAAACACTTTTAAAAATTATAACTTGATGGGAAAAGAAAATCTGAATTTAAAAGTAGATTACTGTCTAAATAATATATTGAACGAGGGAAATCATAGTAAACATTATTTATTGAAAATGTTAAATAAGTATTCATAAAACTTCTTTCTTTGAAATGGAAGAATTTCCTATTAAGAATTTAAATTTCCTTGTTAATTAACTACCTTATTAAAAATAATTAAAACATAAAATATATTAATTAGTAGTTTTTGCAAAAAAAGAAATGCCATTTTATATTAATAAACAACACTATCTATTTTGCAAAATTTATTTTAATATATTTCATGAATGTCTTTACAGTTTAGAATGAGAAATGCACATTTTGTATATTACATTGTGTTGTTTCTCCATCCATAAAATGTGCTTATATTGTTCATATAACAGATATATTCAGAGACAATATTATTGTGACATAAAACGAAGCTTATATTAATTTGATTATTCTCATACTTACTTTGATGATCATTTGCTAAATGAAAAATCTATAACTGAAACATTACTATATGCAGTTTTTTTTCGGGGGGGGGGGGGTGACGAGGATTTACTTAAAAACTTAAATATACTAACCATCAAAAAAGTAAATGCACTTGTCCATGCTGGATTATTACCAGGACCACTTCTGAGACCTCCAGTTATTCCGGCCATAACACTAAGCAGATCAGCCATGTGACTTAATGCTCTGGTTTTAATTACAGAACTAGCATCAGATAATAATACTGTGAAAAAAATAAAAACATATAAGGCTTTTGATTTAAAAAAAGCCTGAGAAAGTACCTCTTAAGTAGTAAGTATGCTCTTTTATGGATAATTTGTAGTTAGAGTTTGGAACGAGCTTAGGCTCGAGCTTGATACTCGATAATTTTTGGTCATTTTCGAGTACTCGATACTCGAATCAAAGCCTGACGAGCTTGCTTTCGAGCTCTGTACGTACAAAATGTTTTTCGTTCTGCATTTTATTTTTAATTTATTTGTCAACATATTTCTTAAGAATCCTAGAACACATTTTATTGGTGCCATAAAACTGCTCCTTTTTAAGTACACAAAAACTAAAACTTTTGTAATTGTATTACGGATAAGTAAGTTAAATAGTAAAAGGATTATAGATATATACAGTAAAATAATGCTTTTACTTTTACCTGAACAGTGTTGAAACTTATTTTGGTAAAGACATGAATTTGTTGCCGCCTAAAGTACATACAGTACAGTATATGCAAGGATTTTTAATCTTTACCGATAAAATACTTTAAGTGGTAACGTGTATGTAATATTAAATAATGATTTTCTTAGTATCAGTAAAAAAAAAATTGTTGAACATTGAAAATGCTGTGTTTCGCAAAACATTTATTACAGGGTAAGACGCAGAGAAATACACACAGAGATACAAGCAGAAATACAAACAGATATACAAGAAGATCATGTTTTAACAAATCATAAACAAATAGAATGGGATTAAGTTTCGAAATACTTCGGACCTGACAGAAAGCTATACTTTCTTTTAACCAATAAGAATGCGATTACTAATATCGGAACACAAATTTAGTCGAAATTTTGATGAAAATAGTTAATATTATTGGAGTTACAGTGATGAATACACGCATATTCTAGAATAGTATTTTCTATTTTTTTTTAAAAATAGCAATCATGCTGAAAAACAAAAGATCAACTGTTTGGAGTCATTTCGCCAAGGCAGACCAAAATTATGCATGCTGCAATGAATGCAATAAAAAAATTTCCATTTTAAATGAAAATACGTCGACAATGTGTCGTCATCTACACAGCGTTCATAACATTGACAAAACAGAGGCAGAAATGATAGCTAAAAAAACAAAATCTCTGGATAATTTCATAATCAAAACATCAACTGAAGAGATTGTTGCAAAAGTGGCTGCAGTAAATGGTTTATCAATTCGTCAAATCACTCAATCAGAGTTTATTCGACAATCATTGGCTTTAAGGGGTATGAAGCTTCCAGCCAACGAAAAATCTGTAATGGCTCTTGTTCATAACCATATGGAAACTGTGAAACAAAAAATCAAAAATGATATTTAAAAAGATATTGCCGAATCAAAGAAATTCTCCATTACCATGGATGAATGGACCAGCATCGGTAACTGCAGATTCCTGAATATAAATCTACATACTGCTTGCCAAAAAAGCATCAATCTTGGACTGGTAAGAATTTTTGGAAGTTGCGATGCAAAAAAAAAAAAAAAAAAAAAAAAAAAAAAAAAAAAAAAGCAAGAACTCGTAGAAAAGCACCTCGAATCTTTTGGTTTATCATTTAAGCACAATATTGTATCTACTACTGGGGATGGAGCAAGTGTTATGATCAAGTTCGGAAAAAAATCACCTGCTTTTTATCAAACATGTCTTGCACATGCCTTGCATTTGGCTGTTACAAAAACTTTTTATAAAGAAAAATCAGGGACAAAAGAAAGTATAGACGAAAGTTCAGGAGAGACTGATGATTTTGATGATGTTGATAATGGTTTGAGCATTAATGAAACTGAACTACAGAATGAATCGTTCAAGGAAAACATAAATATTGTGAGACAAGTTGTAATTTTTTTCAAAAATTATGTTGTGCGTTCAGATTTGTTCAAGTCTAAATGTAGAGAAAAATTACTGATAGAGCAACAACTCTCTCTGGATTGTAAAACCAGATGGAATTCAATGCTGAAAATGCTTGAAACATTTTTAAAATTGTATAGCGTTACAAAGGATGTACTCATTGAACTTGGATCTGAAAGTCTTTAAACAAATTTAAACCTGGAATGAATAAAATCGATAATCTTGGCGTTAAAACCAATTGAAGTGGCACTTAACCCTATGGGTGAAAAACAAGCCATTTTACAAACAGCATATATTTGTATCAACTTTATGCGAGAGAAGTTAACTGAACAAGAATCTGAAATAAGTAGTTCTCTTTCTGAAATTATTGATTTTTACATCGATAGCAGGATCAGTGTTCCAACTAAAATTCCCTAAAGGGATAAACTGATGTTGGCCTTTCCCGCGATGGGGGGAAAATACAGTTAGAACACACAGGAACGAGGATATGCTAAGATGTATAGATCCGGCACTGTGCCGCGTATGATATTTCCTAATTTTATTCAATCTGTTGTTATTGTTTATCAATAAATAATCAAAAGACAACTACTGTGAATTAAATGACTCAGCACTTCAGAACGAAGACATCACAAATTTGTTGGTGAATGTTGGACGTGATTTGGAATTACTGAGAACTTTCGGATGGAATGTGAATCTTGTCTTGGAAGTCTCCGAGTCATGACCATGGAATTGAGGTAGGTCCCTTTAGATTCAGTTCTTGAAGTGTTATGATTTTGTATGTGATAAGAAGTTTTGAATTTATAGTAGTAATTTGATTATTTAGTTGTTGTAAATTGATTTGAAATTTAGTTTTGAAAACAGAAGTAGTTTATGCAAACATGGTGAAATGAGTTAAAAGCTTAAAACAGAAACGAAATTGCATTAGGCAGCTTTTTTGTAATAGTTTGACAAAAATTTAAGATGCAATAAATAAACCTTACAAGAAAAAAACTTGATGATCTTTATGATCAAAGAAACCAGTTGATTGACAAGATAAAGAATCATAAGGGTTTAGATAGTGAAATAGAAGCGATAATCGGTATAGATGATTTAGAAAATGAAATTGCTGAGAGTGAAGAATCAGGAACGCGGTATTTAATGGAAAACGAAACTAAACAGGCATATAGAAAGTGCTTTTAATGGGGCTTCACAAAATGAAATTCGGGTTAATGAAAATGTTAGGTTGGAACAACGTGTAGTAAGAAACAAAAGTAGTGTAGTTAAGCTTCCGAAATTAAGTATTGAGAAGTTTTATGGTGATTGTAGCTCTTGGTTGGATTTCTGGAATTCCTACGAAGTAGCTATTCATAATAACAATTCCTTAAGTAAGGTTGAGAAGTTTTCGTATCTGAAAACATTTTTGGAAGGTACTGCCTTGTCAGCAGTTTCGGGATTTTCGTTAACAAACGAAAATTATGATTCCTCAATTAAGTTGTTAAAAGAAAGATTCGGAAGGCTAGATTTAGTTATAAGCTCACACATGAATAAAATGTTGCTGATTGATTAAGACATGCGCGAATGTTCCAGCATTGCGAAGAATTTATTATACGATTGAGATTCAAATTCGATCATTAAAGTCTTTAGGTGTTGCAGCAAGCACTTATAGTAGTTTACTTTACCCAGTAATACTACAGAAAATTCCAGAAGAGCTAAATTTGTACTACAATAGACAACACAAATTGCGTGAATTTGATATAGAGCACTTAGTTCAGTTTTTGAGAAAAGAGGTAGAAATAAGAGAAGTGTCTTCTTTATTATCAGATTAAAAAAACTTTAAGCAAAATGAAATTCCTTTTAGTAATAGAGGAACGAGTTAAAATTATCAGAAAAATTATATAGACTCAAAACGAAACATTTCAAAAGCGCGCATTCCAACAACAGCTGCTTTAACAGCCATAGCGAATGAAATATGTAGTTTTTGTTTGGATAAAGCTCACGAAACACATAAATGTCCTTAATCATTAACAGAAAAAAGAAATTAGTTAAAATCACAGGGGTGATGTTACATTTGTCTGAAACGTAGACATACGTCAAAATTTTGCTGGAAAAAGGAGCAGCTCTGCAAAATATGCAAAAAACCTCACAATTATTTAATACGCGATAAGATTGAACCGAAAAATAATGCAGCCGAATCAAATTTTAAAGAAATGGGCAATAATTTATTTACAGTACAGTCCTTGCATTACTTTGGAGGAAGTAAAAAGGAATCTGTAAACAAAACCGAGAGTGCAGGAGCGTCGTCCCCGGCTTTATCACAAACATTCAGCACTATAGTAAAAACAAATAAAAAGAGCAAAATCTTGAGGGTGTTCATAGGCGGCAGGCGTAACAGAACGTTTATCAGAACGAAAACTGCGGACTCATTAGGATTGAAGGATTGAAGGCTACCAGATGTGAAACGTTTGAAATATATGGGTTTGGTAGCAAGCGTAAACCTAAACAGCAGTGTAATACAGTTCAGCTTGATTTGCAGAATAGAACCAACCCAAGTAAAAAACTCCACATAGAAGCAGTGGTAATTGATGCGATTATGCATGACCACATAGAAGTTCCTTCAAAGTTGGTCGTAAACATGCCTCTAAGTAAGGGAATAAAATTGGCCGATATTGGAAATACGAAGGAGATACACATGTTGATCGGCTCAGATTACATTTGGGAAATTTTACATGAAAGAAACATCAGATTAGGGAAATTATTAGTTATTACGGACAGTTTTGTTTGGGTTTGTAATCCAAGGTAAGAAAATGGGATCGAATAAACATGACAATTATGAGTATGAAGGAAGAAACAGATTTTGAAAGAGTTAGGAATTTATGGGACTTGGAGGCTATAGGAATAAATAAGGAAAAGGGAATTTCACGATCAGATGCCATATACAGGGGTTGGACAAATATATGGAAACACCTTTAAAAAAACATGTTTCTTTGCTTAATATGGTGTAGGACACCCGTTGGCATCCAAAACAGCTTGCAGTCTTCTTGGAATGGATAAATACAGTTCTTGTATGTTTGCCAAGAAAATATTATACCATTCTTCCTGCAAAACGGAGGCAAGTTCAGATAACGATGTTGGCAGTGGATGGTGAGAACACACTTTCCGTTCCAAT